GTCAGCACTGTAGTCGGTGCAAACTGCGTGAGGAACCAACTTCGTTTGGATTCAAACCCGGAACATTGGAAAGCGAACGCTCGATCCCCTCAGCCACCATGGCTCTAAAAAATTAAAAATATGTTTAAAAAATAGAAAAAAATTAGAAAAATGTTCAATTGAAAGACCTCAATTTGTTTTACAGTATCAATTCAGGTTTGGTGTGACAAATTTAGTTACCAATCTTATCACGATGGAATCCAAATCTAATTATTTTGCTTGGTTATCATAACTTCATCGACAATTTTGTTTCAAAAATTCAAATTTAATTTTCCTTTTACCATAATATCCATTTTGCTACCACGATTAGCAATTAAGACCCATGAAAGCCCTATATTAAAGTTTATTAATTATTTTTGCTTTTTAAATATTTTATTATCAATTATTAATAATTAATTAGGTTACTAATTATTTCATAAATTATTAATTGTCTTATAAATTAACGGATGAGTTATTCTTATAGTTAATTATTCATAATTAATTATTCAGTTTAAAAATTACTTTATAATTTATTAATTGTTTATTAATTATTTTTGTTTATTATCCCTTTGAGTCTGGATTTCTTAAACATATTTTTTATACTTTTTTCATTATTTTGTATTAATTTAGGTCAAAATAAGTGAGAAATAATATACTTAGCATTTATGCAATTTATGCTTATGAAATACAACATGAAACATTGGTGTTTTTTTTTCAGTATTGAAGGTAAAACATGGCTCACTTCCAAAAAAATATTTTTCCTATTTGCACTTATTTGCAATTATTTATATCTAAGAGAAGCAATCACTCATCATTAAAATTCACATAATTTACCAAATCAACTATTGATAAATTTTGAATGCGTATGAAAACGAAATTAATTAATTATTAATTAATATTTTTCAGTTCTTATACTTTTGTACTAATATATATCCTTTAATGTAATAGATTTTTTTAGAAATTATTAGACTGTTTTTTAAAATTAAAAAATACCAAAGTATATTTTTGTATGTAGGAGCATCAGAAAAAAATATATGATAGAGACACCGTTGTCCCATCTGCGTCCATGGGTAAAAACGTAAATAATTTTAAACCACGATAAGGTTGAACATGAACATTTATCATTACTTGCAGTAACTAATTAATTTTTGGTATTAGTTTTATTTTATGAAGCACCTATACCTTAAACTACTAGCAATCATTAACTTTAAAAAAAGCAATTCTTGAATGAAATTTTTCTCGCATTAACATCAAATTCTATCAATTGTTGCATGTTTTTATGCCTTAACGCGTATTCTCATGAACGAAAGATATTTATTATTTGTTGCAAATGATATGCCTACCTACCTAAACAATATTTCTGTTCCAAAGCAGATTTCAAAGATTTTAGTCTTCTTATTGCTTTGAACAGGTTTAATATAAATAACTTTATTTCATTTTTATTAAAGATTCAGTTTTTGTAAATATATAACATCATTTGCATGTTTTGCACATGATGTCCAATCAAACGAATTTATTTTGAATTTCAATTCAGATTTGTTTAAGCTAGTAATGATTTTTTTTGGAAATGATATTTCCGTTTCGTAACTTTAAAATATTCTTTTTAAAATTCAATGCAAATGCTATCTGAAACAACTGATTTATGAAACTGCGAATGAGTTTTTTTCGTTGCCTATTTGAATATCATTTTATTCTTACGTTCCTAAGACTTAAACTGAAAACTTTTTCGGAGTTGTTGAAAGATCTAATAAACCTTATTTCATGTCATTATTTAAATTTATAAATAAACCTCTTTTGAAAATCTAAATTAATCATAACATTTTCACATTTTGAGCGTACCTCGTCTCTTTCTAAGATAAATATATAAATGTAAGTTTTGAAGTATTTCACTTGATAGTCGAGATTTGAATTCTAAAGTAGAGGTATCTACATTTCTTGCTTGCATGCTCTTGAGATTTTTCTAGAAGCACAAATATGAAAAAGAATCTGAAAAATATTTCAGAAAGTTCAAAGTTAGAAGGGGAAGAGGAAAAAAATTAATGCATTAAATTTTCAAATGAAAATTCCTTCCGGACACGGATGGTTATAATGAATTCTGTAGACGAATTGGTACAGGGACGTATTACAGCATATTAGCAATATAGGGTATTCCGCGAAAACCACCCTTAATAGGTACGTTCCAAGCCCTCGTCACTAATGATATCAAAAAAAGCTTTTTTACTTTCGAAAATTATAACGAAAGTGGGAAAAAACGAAATTAATATCTGAATCAAAGCAATCACTATTAAGAAAAATGGCACTGGAAAAATCAAAACCTATTTGATTGCAGGTAAAAACAGAGAAGATTTATAAGTTATTATTAAAAACAAGTTTTATGAAGAATTCAATTTTTTTTTCTAAGTTTTTCATTCCGCCTTACTCACTAGTGATATGATTACTAGCTACACATTTCGATAACGTTTGCTTTTTTCCTCGTTTAAAAATTAGTTTACAACCCTTAATATGTATACATTTTAATTCCTTTTAAAAATAGATTCTTAAAATACTTTCGAATTAAAAATTGTCTTTTCGAAACATCTTGTTTATATACAAAGAAAGAAAAACTTTTGAGCTAATAATGAAGTTTCCAAACATATGTAATTCTAACGATTCAAGAAACACAATTAAATATTGAATAATTTTTTTTTCAATATTAATATAACATTTTGAAAAACTAGTTTATTTGTTTTATTATGTGTAAAAACTTATAAAACTAGCAAAAAAATATTATTTTTATTATTTTAAAGATCCATTTTTTAGTAAAAAAAAAGGACATTTTTTGCATATACGCTAAACATTGTAAAAAAAAAGTTCTATCGCCTGAAGCAAAAAAAAATCCTTTGAGAATTTTATTTAAAAGGCTATCAACAGCGTTTTGGATATCATCTTAAGAGCAAGTGCATACACTACCGAGTTAGAGATCAATGTAGTTACTAAAGCAAATTTTTCCAAATTTTCGCCTTTGTCTTTGCGGAAAAACATGATTAAAAAATGAAATTCTGCTTTTTTCTCTTAGTCTGTAGATCAAAACATGTGTGTTATAATCATAAACACTCATGAAAAATTATAGGTAATTATTTCAAAAACAACATGTGATATCGTGTGAAAAATGTGAAAATATGAAAAAATGTGAAAAAAATCTAATTTTGAGATAAACGCATTTAATAACTGAAAATCATTAATTTATTCACTGTTATGACCTTGCACAAGAACTGCTATAACTTTGCAAATAATTGAGCGCAAAAATAAAGTATTTTTGGACAGCTAAGAGTACAGGGATTCCAAATTTATAATAAACTCAATTTCAAAAATTTTGCCCTAAATCATGCTTTTGTACTTGTCAGATACCCTAAATTAAGAAATAGAATGAAAAAAACGTACATTTTTTGAATACGCATAATTTCCTTCATCGGTTTCGGAATTTAATTTAGATTCTTACGAAATAAAGTGTAGCCACAATACGATTTCAACATTTTAATCGGGAGAGTTGTCATAGCTTTCAGTTCCCCTTTGTTGTTCTTCACTTTGAGCTTGTTTTATTATGTACTTAGACCTAATTGCAGGAATCAAAATTTTTGTGCACTCATATTTAGTACTTGTTCAAACAAAGATAATTTCATACAAAAATTGCATTTTTATTATTATTTATTATTATTTCACTCAGTAAAGGACGTTTTGGCATACCAGGTATAAAAAATGTTTAATTTGAGTTAATTTACGTAGCTTAAAATATAAAAGTATGAAATATGAGGCAAATCGTTGATTAATCACAACCTACATGATGTCCAGTTAGCATTTCTGAGCAATCTACTTTAAAGAAAATTTGTAGTAAAACAGATTGAATAAATTTGTAGATTGGATAGTGACATAATGAAATGTTTGGTATCTCATCCAGGAAATAATCATTTGTTCCACTAGATGACTCATTTCTCAACCACTTGGTCACTCAGATCCTTTTGGATCTGAGACTCGGTGTATTGAGATCCAATCAAATCCGTACATCCTCCCGCTTACACAACTTCATTACATCATTATGAAACTCTTCTAGTTGCTTAGATAGACTACTTACAAGTGCCAATTTTATTTACAGGTACCCTGTATTCGCATAATGTCTTTCAAATTTTAAACTTGAACATTAACTTTTACACAGCTTAACATGATATAAAAAATTATATAACTTAGATTTTAATCAAGTTTACGTTATTGAATTAAATAAGAAATGGTATTTAATAAGGGAAAAAATTGCAGGGCATTATCATCAAATAAAGGAGTTATTATAGGTGCAGCCAGATTTTGACTAAGAAAATCACTTCTAGCGATATGACGAATAAAAATTGAAGGACCCAAGGTTTTGGCCATCGGATCGATTGACAGATTACAGCTGCCCTTTAACCTTGATGGTCAAAAGGTAGAGACAGTTCGGAAAAGAAAGTGTCTAAGAAATCATGTTTTTCTGCCTGGTATACTAAGTCAAATTGAATGGAACTATTTAAATTGCTCTTCTTTGGTAAGCTCTTCAATGAGCAAAAGTACTTTTAGTTAAACGTTAAAGGTGTAACCTTTTTTTTAAATTTGAGTACTATACATGTTTATTTCAGTCGATCTAATGGCTAGAAAAAGCAGACTCGTGATCTATCTTATATTAAGAATATTTTGTGTTGTCACTGTCGTTAGTAAAAAAACAAAAATAAAATAAGGTCTCGCATAAATTTGGGTAAATTGTCAATAATAATGTATACTTCCTAAACAATGTAAACCATTTTTCTTTAAGCAAAGATATAATCAATCTTATGTAAAAATAGAAGATATTTTTGGAACATTTCCTCACCTATGAGTTTGGTAACAGGCATGTTTAATGACAATGACATATCATATCACATCATCAGTATCCTCACATGTCATATCACATTTTTTCCTAATATGTCATATTTTTTCTACCGTAGGGTGGACCCAGAAATAACATCATGAGGTTAGCCAGAGAAGATAAATCTATGAGAGGTCACCTTGAGTTTAGTGGTGCAGATGTTATCCGAAGTCTTCTAAACTCCAGGAGTCTCAACAGCTTGGGCGGCGGAGAACTCATTCGAATACTAGACCCTCTGAGCGGTGGCCAAATGCTAAGATCTTTAGACCAGCTGTCTAGTGGACAGTACCTCAATTCTCTAGACAATTATAGAGGCGGAGAAGTCTTGAACGTCCTGGACCGAATGACTGGTGGCGATTTCATTAGCTCTCTGGATGCAGTCGAAGGAGGGTCAGTCCTTGGTGCTCTGGACAGAGCTCGCCAGTCTAAACTCAGACACCCACCATCTCCTAAACGTACCCAAACCTTGGACACACTCAACGGAATGGCATTTGGAATGAGCAAGAGATTCGATTCCCTGAGTGGCTCTACCTTTGGCATGAGCAAGAGGGATTTCGATGAAATCGACAACGTAGGATTCACTGGATTCGCCAAGAGGGGACCCTACAGACATAACAGTTTGGCCTTGGCTAAAAAGAATTTCGATGAAATAGATCGAGCTGGATTTGAGACCTACAACAAGAGGAACTTCGATGAAATCGACCGAGCGGGTTTTGAAACGTTTGAGAAGAGGGATAGAAAAGAATAAATATTTTGGTAAGCTAACTTTATTTCTTTGCATCTTTTCTTAAAAAAATTATAGGAGGTAAGAGTAATTATTAGTTTTGAATCTTTAAAATTCGTAATTAAAAATTTAAGCCTAAGCTTGTAACCCTACTAATAATCACACTATTTTTTTCGAAATATTTATTTCCGAATTTAATTACACTATTTTTTGCTGAAAATAAATTAATAATCACAAAAAAAGAGGATTTGCATATCATCTACAAACGAGTATTGGACCAACTAAGCGTACAATATTAGAACAAGTCTTATAGAAATTGAAAAGGATAAGTGTAATAAAATAACAACAAAACGATTTTATGTCAGAAATAGCTTCTGTACACAATATAGCTTCGCTGATTAGAGTAGGAAACGAGTACGAATGCGAAATAAGCCCTTTTTGTGAATCAATTAGTGCGAAGGAAAACTATGTAAAGCTATTGCAAATTAATAAAACAATTTCTGAGTCTGGATTTACCTTGTTATTGCGCTAATCCCTTAAAATTCTTTTCCTTACGCAACTTTCTCATAGATTAAAAAAGGGAAAAAAATTATTTTTAGATAGGAAAAGCATCTGATAAAATGATGTCTTCGGAAACTGAAGTTAGATATAAATAAATAAAAATAGTTCATGAGGTCTTTGACTTGCGAACAATAAATATTGTCCAATTATTTTCTAATATTATGACCAACAGAAATTTGGTGTTTTATCCAATTACTGCAATTTAGTCTTTCAGTTTCATTTAAGGAAAAAAAATTGTTGGTTTTATTTTGATGAATATAGTTAAAAAGACTTAATTAAGAGTTAAATTTTAAAATTTATTTCTCACTTCAGGAATTATTTGCTTCTCTTACAACAAAATTTTTACCGTGTTTTTCGAAACAGTGGTTTATAAATAATACCTTTGACATAAGGCTTTGTGAAAAAATTCACATGGTGTAAGGTCTTAATGGCCATATTATTAAATGTGAATTCCATACCACCCTCACGCCCAAGACAGTATTTATGAAGTACCGATACCGAAAACATTGAACTTAAAGAGTAAAAACGCAGTATTTAGAACTATTAGCAGTGTGAAACTGGACTTAATGTTTGGAACGAATTAGATTAGGAATTAGATGCTTGTTCAAGAGCAAAAAATGCGCCTTAGAATTCTCTTTCTTCATTAAATTCATTATGCATTGAGATTTGGTGAGTTTATTCTTGAAATGTGGGACCAGAAATATCCGAAGAAATACTTCACAAGTTTTGAATTTCATCCCTTTGAACAATTTTTTCAATTGTTTTGTTTATTTGCGAATCAGAAATCGATCTAGTCTACAGTTCAATGCTTGTCGTGCAACAAAAGGGTTCTCATATCAAACTCATATAACTAAAAAACGGGTATATTTTACTTGAATTTCGCATATTATGCACGTAATTGCTTCAAAACTATAAATATGCAAAATACAGTCATTCATTTATGCTAACTCTGTGTTTTTGTACTAAAATACCAATTAAAATCAAATGGCTTTCTCAACTTATTAAAAAGTCACTTTCTAGCAAATTATCTTTTACATGCTTGGGTTTTTTATATCCTATAAATTGTCCAAACCTTAACTGTACTGTTTCCTTTCCACATTAAAAAATTATTCTATTAAGAAATCTACACACTAAAGTCGATGACGAGCTAAATATAAAATTATTTTTTTTTAAAATTACAATATGCCCCAAGTTTAAAAATATTAAAATCGCTTAGATATTGCATTAAATTTGTTGAAGCACGAATAATAAAAAAGCATTTTTAACGAAATATTTAAAGACATATCAACGTCAAAACTCACATAATAAAAATGGATGCACTATTTTTACAGTCAACAACTCAGCCATCCTTTCAATATGCTATTGTTAAAAATCCATCCTGAATATCTTACATTCTTCTCTTAATAGACGTGGATTCCTCTAGGATTACAACTCAAATGAAACTAGTTGTGTTGTAAAACCTTTTGAGATTTCAGTAATTCAAGTGTCGCCAACATCTGTTACTACGGACTCCTAGCAGCCACATTTTTCGACATGAATTTATTTTAAATGGAAGCGAATTTATTCGTCTCTTGAATTTAATGGTATAGGGCATTTTTATGACACACTATATCACTGTTTATTTTATGCATCTTTAAACATAAACGTTATTTGCGTGAGTTACTGGGGGATTAAGTTATCAAGAGATTAAAGGGAATATAAGTATTAGAAAGGATATTTCAAGAACAAATTATTATTTCCTCTTTTTGTACTTAAAATGAATCTGTTCACTGCTTGTAAAAATTCTTTCAAAAAATTTCAAAATTGCGTAAAAATTTTATTATTTTAATTGTCTGCTTGCAAAAGCTTGTAAAAAGTCATGGTAATTAATTAAAAGAAATAATTGTTTGTCCATTGACTTGAAACCTTTTTGGCATTAAGAAAGATATTATTATATCATTTATATGCGGAGAAAATTCAAAAATTTGTATTTAAACAGATTTATTGAAGTATCAATACACTAAAGAATGTAAAAAGGCATGAACAGTTATGCTATAATGGGATACCTGCAAGTGACGTAGTGTAGGTATCTTCATCCTGATCGATTGGTGAAACGTGGCATTTGTTTACGTTAGAAACTGTTGTTTCCATTCCATTTCGAGTAAACCAAACCCGTCAAGTATCAATTCTCTTAAGTGACTCATTCTATATTCTTTTACAAAGAATTTTTCACTATATATTTCTTACTTAACACAAAGACAGGCACGAAGCCATGTAGAACATAAACACACTAATTATGTATCAAAGTTGCCAGATACACAAATCAAAATTATATCATGGTTACAAGAAAAGACATAAACAAATAATAAATCTAAGTTAAGTAAAAGAAGTAGACTAGAATGAATGATATTTCAACAAATTTGGTGTGCGATACAGCTCACTATTTAATTAACTTCATGTTAATTAACATTCTAACTTATGTGGGGAAACTTAACTTTAGCACGTCATTTCGCTCATAAACGATCAGCTAGCTCTGACGTTATAGGTCCCATGTGTTGGTATTTGTGATCTTCTTCTTCTTCTTCAAGTGCGAGTGCCCAGTTACATTTATAAATTTTAAATTTTGGTTTTGAATCTCCTATGTATGATATATTAATTCATGTAAAACGTCATAAAAATAACATATTAGGAAAAATAATATAATAATTAATTATATAGGTCTATAAGGTATTAATCACTTATAATAATAAATCATATCAATCCAAAAGATCATATTGATCCTTAATAATTCATATAATATGGATTATATTGATCTGTAATACATGAGATGTGTTATATCGATATGTCGTATCAATTGAAATAACTAATTGGTAATAATTAGGGGACAATTTTGAAAAAAAATGTATAAGAGCTTGAAACACTTATCGAAACGTGAGGATAATACGTAATATCTGAACATCCCACCCATAGCAATTTCAAGAATATTTCTTGGCATGAAAGCATCATTGAGTATATCAACATTGAAATGCTTTACAAAAGCACAAACTGTAATTAACTCAAGGCTCTGGGTAATTTCGACTGACTAAATGCTCAAAAGTGGAGCTGTGATTGCTTGCAGTCCCCATACACAAGATCGTTATTACGGAATTCCTTCTACCAAAACTGATATTAATCCAAGCTAAATTGAATGTTTGAACTCTTACCCTCTTACTAACTTTCACCATCATTGTCATCATTATGGCTTCTGTCTATTAATATTATGATATTATTTGAGATGCAAGGGTCACTTTATTTGATTGAGATTATGCAATACATTCATAAATCTATGTATGTAATTCGATGCTTAATTATGATCAATTGAAAATGCAATATAGGCTATTCCCTAAGAATGGATCCGGCTTTGGAACTATTTATTGTATCGATCTGCTTATGTCAATAACTGAGGAAATTAGTCTATTTATGAATTATTTGCATGTTCCTAGAAATAATATTACAAACTTCTAATACTTTGAAAAAAAATATCCATTAGCTTTTTTAGCTTAAATTTTTGACATTTTTGGAAAGAATGTGCGAAATTTTAGTATAACTAATTTACACAATTTAATCTTAAAAAGCAGTGTTACGATTTACTACTAAAATTGAGAAGTTGATTTTTAAATTACATCAAAATCTAAAAATGACTGAAACTAAAACTAAAAATAATTTTATCTGTCACTTTAATATTGTCGTTCCTTCTTTTTTAATAAGCATTTGACTTTAAAATGAGAAATAAAAAAACATTTTTATTCAATAATATTTTTTTCTTTATTCAAATATTTCATAATTTTTCAATTTGTGTACTTTTTTCGTTCAGTTCAGTTTAGTTGAGCATTTTAAATGTTATTTTAAAGTAAATCAAAGCTATTTTCAATATTATTTATTTTATGTTTCTTTCATCTAGATATTGTTCATTAATTTTTTAAAAATAGGTTTTGTCAAATATTTGAACAATTTATACATTTTAAATGCTAATTTGAAAGTAAATAAATAGTAATTAAAACTATCCTTCATTTTTATTTTTCAAACATTTGATATTGTTTAATTTTAAAAATATTTTATATTCACTTAAAATAAAAATCCGCGTATTTTTTCTTTACCTTATAGCAAAAAAATATTTTTAATCATAACAAAAGTCTTCTATTTAATTCAATCACTCTTCTTTTGCATTAATATTATGTTGAGTGTTTCTGAAATTTTAAGTGTTGGAATAAATCGAATTCATTCAACATATAAACTTTTACAAATCCGCTTTAAAAAATACATATAAATTCTACTTTTCATTAAATTTTGATTGATTTAATCTATAAAAATTTTACGTTTTAGCTACAAAAATATATTGACTGCTCAAGATACGGGTAAACCCTTTTCCTGACAGATTCATTTCTCAATAAGCTATGAGTTTTGACGCAGTGGTATTATTCTTTCATTAAATAAACTTTCTTCTACGTTTAACTTATGACATTTTAATGGAACCATCAAATTACTTATAGGAATCGGAAAACAAAGGTGGGCATGCTTTTAAAACAATATGCCTTTTTGAGTTTGAAAAAAAAGAGTTTTTATTCATCTAGTTATTTTCAAAATTATTTAATCGTGATATCTTTAATAACTTTTAATGGCCACTTTAATAACTTTTGATCTACTGATCAGATTGCCAAATACTGATAATCTTAATCGGCTTAAAGTGCCAAGACAAAATTTGCTATTTTTCTTCTGCACATGATAATTTGAAGTATGATTTCGAGCACAAAAACCTACTGTCTCTGAATAACGAAAAAGATAGGGCCACTTAAACAAAATGTTTAAAACCATCAATTTAAAAACTTTGTACATCTTTATACCATTACACTTTCATACTACGTGAGTCTAGTAGTAAACGTAACAGTTAGACCATGTTAAGTAAATATTGGAAAATTAAAATTAGCTTAATTAGCTCAATGAGGTTATCATCGTTATTTATAAAATATTTATAAAATAATGGTTTCTTAACTTTTAGAATAGCTAGTTAAGCTGGTAGCAGTCCAGAAAATTTAAGCCTACTATTTCAGTCAGGTTGTTGAAAGTTTTAACACCACTTAATGTTAATTTCACTTTTTGCATATTTCGCTAATCAATTTAAATTATTGACCGACCACGGAGGACCCAAGGCACTTGCATATTCAGAAAAACTAAAAATTGGCAATAATATTGAGATGGAAAAATACATATTATGTTTTTCACTATTAGAATATTGTAATAAAACTTTAAACAAGTCTATTAGAGGATTTTGCTTTAAATTCAAAAGTGAAATATAATTCTGGGAAATTTTAGCTTCGTTAGAACAAAATGAATGCCCCTTTTTAAGTTTTACAAGGTAATTGAAATCCTGAAAGCTGGTATCATTCTGATAAGTTGTAATAATGAATGGTACAGGACTTAATGGCTTTTGTTGTAATAATAAGCTAAATAATTTTGAAGCATAATTACGAATAGTTGCATTATTTTAAACTCTGTCAATTTTCTTGTCAAAATCCAAAATTCGAATGGTATCGGCCAAGTTCTGGAAGTTCTTGAAAAATTAAACTGCAAAAAATGCCGGATAAATTACGGTATAAAGTGCCAATACTTTGGGCACATCACTCGTAGAGTCCTTTTCAAAAAATCCTTTTCGTAAAATATTACACGTAATTTTAACAGTAATACTTATTTAGCTAGTGCGATTCAGTCATTTTGCGGTGATTATTACTGTAAAATTTGCGGTATTTCAGATTTTTAGCTCCGTAGCATGTTCCGCTAAAAATTGATTTTGCGGTAAAACGTAACGAAAGTACCTTGAGTGGCGGTACGTTTTATCGTAATTTAATCTAGAAATTTTTTACAGTGTAAGTTTTTAATAAATAATATTTTTAAATTTTCATTTCTCCAGAGACTGCGTATTCCATTCAAATTTTGGACTTTTTATCTGAAAATAGAATAGCTTAATTCTACGTAGTTTAAACTGAAGTAAAATTTTGTATACCTTTTAATTTAAATATTTAACTATTATTAAATTAAATAATTAGAGAATTAGTACTTTTACATTTCGTATGCGCAAGCAATAAAGTCGCCAATCCGATGCAGCATTTTTTATTTATTTTATAAGATAGATATTTAAAAAGAAATTATAATTAAATTAAAATATCCAAATTTCGTTGCCCCGGCAAAATGCAAAAATACCAAAATACATGATTTTAAAAATAAATATTTGTAACCTGGAACAAACTTTAGATAAACAAATTTAAAAAATATGTACTAAGATGTTTTGATTTGATTAAGTAATACGAAAAACATGACGTAATACAAAAGTAGTATACTTAACATTATAGAGTTCAAACTTTTGACTGCTCTTGACTATTGAGATGCAAGTGAAAATGAAACTAATTCTTCATACTGCGTAAAATTTTTTAAAAAAGTAGGAAATTATAAGAAATATATTAATTATTATTATTATTTAATAACAATATTTCTTTCGTTCATGACTGACATGCTTTTAGAAAGATATATTACAGTCAAATATTTTTTTTAAAAAAAATTATTGAAGAAACCACGTGACAAATATTCGTTTAATTCTTAATGCAAGCAGAAAAATCGGTACTTTTCGGCAAGCCGGGTGCCAGAAAATTCAATCATTTTTTTATTCTTCATTTTGTTAAATTTTTATGTGTATAAAAAGTCAAAAAAAGAAAAAATTAAATATGAAATTGGCGGAGGTCAACATTTTATGACAAATTTTCGCTTATGCTTGGCTAACCAAAATTATTACAGAAAATAAATCTAATTAAAGCTCTATTTCGTTAATCATCCACATAATAATAAGTCGAATTAAAATGACTACCATATTCATATCCGAAATGAACTCGCATTTTATATCTGTCAAAATGTATGAGTAAAATTTAAAAACAAAATTCGTTTCAGTGTTTAATAGTTGACCAATGTGTATAATAGTATCTGAGTGTCATTGTTATGAAAGATTTAATTATTAAGTGAAACAATTTTTGAGTAGCTTAGTAATGTTTTTGGCTTCACTGTATAATTTTTCAATTCGTGTANGAAAGTCTCTGTGTCAAATTCGACTCCTAGTTTTTAAAGTATTAAAAACTAAAATTTTTTTAGTAAAAAGGGTTAGCTATTTTGGTACTTTTAGGTTAGCCGGGAAAGTCGCCAAAGAATATGGACGTCGACCAACTAATTTCATTTTTTATATTTTTTTTAACAAACATGAAAATTAAATTAATTTTTTAAAAAAATTTAAAATAAACTAATCGAAAAACTCTGTTATTTTTAACTGTAAAAGAAATTTACATTTTCATGCCTGTTGTGTAATTTTATTAACATTAGAATATTATATTTAGTCTATAGATTCCACATGATTAATCGTATTTGAGCGAATAGAGTTTAAAAAAATATCTATTGGGGTTTAAGAAATAAACGGGAAAAATATCGATACTTTTCTCAAATTTTTTCTTAAGCTAATAAAAATAATATCTCATAAAATGTCTCATTTTAATAATGTATTTATATTTAAAACATATAACTTATTGTCAAATTTTATCTTATTAAAATGAAATATTGAATTTTTTCAATGATAACTACAACAAGTTTCGTAATTTTCTAAGTTCCTTTCGTGTAAGATAGAATAGTTTCACCTTCTGTTAAATTTACAGGTGCAGTTACTTCTAAAAAATGATAAAGACAGCCTTAAACAATATAATGAACAGTGTCGTTAAATTTAGAAATGAAAATATTCCTGATGATTTTTTTTAAAAAATTGTTACTCAATATTAATAATACGCATAGTGTCAGTCGACTCACTAACAATAATAACAGGATCGTCTTTTTTTAAAATATTAAGTTGCATGCCGTTTTTAATACCATACTGAACACGAGCATCGACATCTTCGTTATAATCAGGTAGCATTTCCTCCGTATAATGGAAAGCATAAATCGCTCGCCACATTTGGCTTTGACGAAAAGCCGTACCAGATCTTGTAACCATAATGATTGGACACCTAGGCCGGAATTTGGCGATGGCATAAGCTGCTCTCCCTGCTTTGGTCAAAACTATAATGGCACTTGCCAAGCATTTTAATGATGCAGCAACTGCAGCAATCGCCATACACGTATCAAAATGAGATGGAATAACTTCTCGAAATAAGAGATCAGAAAATATAACACGTTGATTTAAAACTGTTTCTGCTTCATGTGTTATTTTATGCTGAACTGTGACACATTCAACAGCATACTGTCCTTTGGCTGATTCTGCAGAAAGCATAACGCCATCCGCGCCATCCAAAATAGCATTGGCGACGTCACATGCTTCAGCTCTTGTGGGTCTTGGCTTTTGGACCATGCTATCTAACATCTGTGTAGCACAAAGGACGGGTTTTCCAGCAACGTTACATTTAGATATCATCATTTTCTGCGCCAAGAATATCTTTTCTGTTGGAATATTAATCCCAAGATCTCCTCTGGCTACCATAATTGCTTCTGAAACTTCTAGAATCTCATCGAAATTCTGTATTCCTTCATCATTTTCAATTTTTGGAATGATCCAAATATGTTTGCCTTTGTCTCCTAATAATTTGCGGATTTGTTTTACGCCGTCAGCATTTCTGATAAAAGAGGCAAAAATATAATCAACTTCCAGTTCAAGTCCAAATGCAAAATCCTCTTTATCTTTTTCAGAAACTGCAGGTAAATCAGTATCAATCCCTGGTAAATTGCATCCTTTTTCACTTCCAAGTTTGCTCTCATTCCCCACTTCGCACTCCACCCAATCACCGCCCACTTTTTTGACGATGAGAGTAATTTGTCCATCATCCATGTATATTTTATTCCCCTCCTTAATCACTTTAGTTATATTTTTATAATCAATATACACTGTTTCAGAATTGCACTTATCAAAATAGCTGTCATCAGTCGTAAGTTTCACTGTACTTCCTTTCTTCAGTTCTATTTCTCCAAACTTATCCCCTTCTACAAGACCAGTTCTGATTTCTGGCCCTTTGGTGTCCAGTGCAATAGCTACAGGATACGAATCCAAACCTTTATTTTTTGCGACTATCTTCGCTGCCTCTCTTACATTAGCCGCAGTTTGGCCATGATAATCATACTCTCCGTGAGAAAAATTAAGTCTAGCCACATTCATACCGGCTTCCATGAGTTCCACTAACTTTTCTACTGACTGCGTAGCCGGTCCTATAGTGCACACTATTTTACTAAGTCTTGGATGATGAGTTTTTTCATAAACAGTGTAGGCGCATGCGTGATCAATAGCATTCAAAGACATATTTTCGATCAGTCTCTGTTCCAAACTCTTCTCCGCCATTTTTGCTTCTTTTGAAACGACGGTTAAGAAGGGATATTGAGATTTATCAAATTTTAATCTCTCTCTTGCTGGAGGGCGTTCACCTTTACTTAATGCTGTAAAATACTTTCTAGACCAAGCAAGCAAATCAGGTGGGTTGGTTTTAATTGCAGCTTTTGCGTAATTTTTTAATATAGAAGGAAACTCTTCTGGAATCGTTATTTGATCATCGAAGAAAATAGAATCCATCAGAAAGTGATGCCATTTTAAAATAATCTTATCTTAATGATTGCCATTATTGATTTTCAAAATTTATAATTTAAAATTAATAATTCCTCACGAGATATTTATATATTTTATTGATGTTTTAATAGTTAGTAAAATGTGGCACGGAAAATTTGGTCGTCGTGATTAAATATTTTGTAAGAATATTTTTATTTTATTGCTTCAGACAGATAAACGCTGTTTTTTTCTCAGAAAATGCTATACTGAACAACATATTAACAAATTTTATTAACAATTTCTTGCAAGCAGAATTTTTTAAAAGAGATAAACTGAAAAATTTTAAAATATGAAATACGTTTTTGTATAAATGCAAGTGAATAAACATTATTTTGTGTTGCTGTTTCTAATGCCACTTGCCAATTACCAGCGAGCATGCTTGGAGAAACAAAGCAAATTTAAGGCTGAAGGTACGTTTCTTGTTGTTCAGTGGGGCCATCTATGGCCAAGAATACGTCTTCAGCCACACACACGTCACAGTCCGTTTCAAAGGCTGGGCCCATTCGTACATCCATTCATTCATCCACAGATCGTAATTTTGACCTGAACCAGATAAATATGCATCTCCAATTCATTAATTTGTAATACGTAAAATTAATTTATTTTATAGACTATTACGATTTAAATTTTAAATAAACTATTGATTATTTTTTTAATTTCAAACAGAAAGAATTTTGCATTAAACAATTATTTTTAAATTTAAATTTTATAAGAGACTAAAATTTTAAAAAAGAGCTTTCTTTAACAACCAATTGAAAATGTTTAGACTAGTTAACCCGCAGTTTTGTGCACTAAGCCATAAGTAAAGAGACGTGATACAATCTTTTTTTTAAAAATTAATGTTCCCTTTTACATTTCCTTTAATACATTTTTGTTAATCCTGCTTTAAGAAATTTAACAAAAAATTTTACGAAAAAATCTTTTATTTTCGCAGATGAGAAAAATTCTGCATCAAACAAAATTAACAATTTTTTAACGACATGACAATTTTCTAAGTATTAATATCTAGTCTCGATTAAAAAGCTAGTTTTACCTATTTTCGTTATTATTTGCTTGTATGTTTCGTTAATTTAGGTTTGTAACATGGCGTACATGCCTAAGTCTGTAAAATAGGAAATATCAGATAGATTTAGAAATTTGTTTAGCGATGTGAACAACGATAACTTTCTTAACACTGTTTTGTTTCAGGATGAAATGGTAACGAAATAGAATACTTACAGTGAGTTTAGAAAATTCTTTTTTCTACGAGGGCCGTAAAAAATTGCTTAAACTATCATTCACGCAAGTGATTATTTATTGATTGTAATAATATTTTCAGCTGGTATTGTGCAAATAGGTATTTAACATGCACTAACATATGCACTAAGGTAGCAGGTTTTTTACAGTCAGATGGAAGTATAGCTTACAATTAATAAATTTTATTTAAAGTTAGATGACAAAAACTGTAATCTTCTTTCTATCTGTAATAAATATTAAAAGAATATAACTTTTTACACAATAGGAATTAAAACTAATATATTAAATGAAAAGAGGCAAATTAGTTTACATATTTGCATCGTACTCTGAAAACTATGTTATGAAATATTGATAATTTAATTTTGTTTTGCAGCCATTTTCAAGAAATAGAAGAATCATTGTGGTCATCAGACAATAAAAGAGAAGATAAAAATATTAAGCATCAGAGACGATTTTCAAGCGATTGTCAGTGAACTCAATTGTGCCAAAAATAGTCATTGCAGCTTTTTCTCTTGCTACATTTATTTTGTCTTTTTTTTCTGTCAAAATTTCACACGACGTATCTGTTTAAAAAAAATAATTGGATTATTGATTTTCAGGACTGCTTCTCTTAATAATTTTCTTGTATTTTATTGAATATACTATACTATTGAACTTTATAATGTATCACATTTTGTTGTAAATAAAATTAAAAATTTCCAAACAAAATTTCGCAGTTTTTTTTTTCGAATTTATAAATGAAGAGTTGTACTATCATAAGGTTATTTAAGTGTTTAAAATATAGAATAATTTTGAAATCATCTTTTCTTAAGAATTATTATTGCAGAGTTAAGTAGTTTTAGGCTTTCAATTTTAGTAGAAATAATAGATTATTGCTGTACAATTTGTTACCCAAAAGTTGTGTTGTAATACTAAACTGTTTCTGATTATTTTAATGTTTGTTTCGCTTTTTCCGACCTAATTAGAAATGATATTATTGTTGATAACAATCTGTAACTCGATGATAATCAATTTAAATAAAATTAATATTATAGGATACAATATTTTGAGTTTAAAAAGTTCAAATTAAGAAATCATAAATTATACTATACTGACAAAAAATCGGACAGTACATTGACGAACCAAAAGTAATAAATAATGGTATGCTAAAATTAAATACACGAATAATTTCTGTAAACTCTTTAACTGTCAGAATTTTTTGCTGTTTTATTTTTTCATTTAAAAAAAAAACCTTCTTGTATTCTAAAAATTTGAACTAGTTGCAGAATCTTAAAAAGAAGAAAAAGCGTGGACTAAAATTAAGTTAGAACTACCTTATACGTAATCATTACCTTTAATATATATTTTTCGTTTCTTTGTAAGGATTGAAAAAAGAGACAAAAATAATTTTGGAAACTGTTGCATCATTAATGAAAGAGGGTGGAACAAAATATATCAAAACTAGTTAGATTGCCTTGCGAAACCTCAAGGGGTTTCATATAATCACCTTTCAAGTCGTCTCTGTTATCTACTGCAATCAAACAGGTTTCGAGTTTGCTGTCTCTTTTTCCTCCGTGATTATTTAGATGTCTTTAATGTATTTTTCCTTGCTGAAATGCTGATTTGCAACCCCTAATATAAATACTTGTTTAATTTATTTTTACAAGGTTCCTAAGAATATGTATCAAGTGGGAAGATTATAGAACACTGTGTAAGTGACAGTATTTTCATTCCTTAAAATTCATAAAATTTTCCTTCAGTCACTCAAGTCATACCTTTATTCATTCGTTTATTCTTATCTGCATTTGTTCGTCATACAGTAGTCCTTACACTATTTCGAGAACATAACATTAAAAATAATTTAATACAATACATTATATAACTTAAGGATAAATATATAGCTTAAAGGATAAATATATAGCTTAAAGATTAATACCTTTACATTAATTTAACCTCCGATGTAAAGATACCTTTATAACTATGGTTAAATTAATGCTGATGACAAAGATATCTAGGTCTTCACTGTTTTTAAGCAACCATACCATTTGAAATGGTAATGGGGCGACAGCCAGCATGATGGTGCGAAATGGTAAGAAGACAATTATCTAAAATAACGCCATGCTTACATCAAAACTCTTATCGGAATTTAGATTTTATCTACACATCAACCTGCCGGAATGGAAATAGCAATTAGAATTTTGTTCGGAATTTCTTTCCGAACGGAATCAAGATTTCGTAATATGCCAAACTGACATGTACGTAATTATGACGTCACAAGAGCGTCATTTCAACCGAAATTAAATTCCGTGAAGCTGGTAACAGAGCTTCAATGACATATTTTGTATTTTCAACCACTGCGCAGCTTAGTACCCCTAACGTAATGACATCTGTCTTATTTTTCGTCTACTGCGCAGTTAACTTCGTCACATCGGACTACTAAATTGATCTGTGCTGAGGCCTTTCTACTTCTAGAAGGTGTTGCTTCAACTAAGGCTCTAGCTTCAACAATTATCAAAATATTTCCTAACAATGAAAATGCAGTCTCCGTGTAGCACTCTAGTTTTAATAACCTTGAACAGACAGATGCCTTGTTGCCTTATTGTTTTCTTTAGTGACATATTGCCAATAAAAATTAGCACAAAATTCAAATTTTAAGCTGAGTGTGTTTAAAGCATAACAGTACCAACTTAATAATCATTTCACTTTTCTCTTTAATGAAATTACAAATATAAAATGATGTAATGATATTCAACAATAAACACACTAAAAAAATTTGCCTCATTAAAATTCCTTCCATAATCGTTCACATTTTCTCATGACACTAAACTTGGTTTCCTCTTCGGATGCGGAAACGCCTTCACTTTGTAAAAATGCTACTATAGCTTCCTTCAGGACATCCTTTCTGTCAAGTACTTCATAGGCTTCTTCATGGCTAAGTAATATATCTTCAAGCTTTTCTGAAAGATTAAACAGTATTTAAATTTTAGCGAGCTTTCAAAATGGCTTGTATCCTAAGCACGCTGGCCAAATGACTAGTTATTTCATTTAATATACAGTGCTTCGCCAAGTTTCAAGTTCATAAAGTTTAGATTCTCTTTGAATTGTTCTAGGACAGATCTTTGTTTTTAAGTATTACTTGAATTCTATTGTAATTTGCTGAAATTTTAATCAACTGCTTTTTCTATTTTTATTCACAGTCCACATTAAACATCTGTTATCACATTTGTCCTTTTCCCCTTTATGTTAAAGCTTATATATATATATATTTATATACATATANATATATCAGTAAATAACTTTATATCTAATATATTATATATATATATATATATATATATTGGGAAAAAGTAGAGCGTGTCAACAATATAATGAGAGAAGGAAGGTGCGAAGCAGGTTTATGGGGATTTTACAAAGCAAATGCTGCCCAAACCCCATTTTCACTTGGGCAGATTTACAAAATTCAAACAATCTTAAATCCGATTAATTGGATCTTTTATTTTGACATGAACTTTTTGAAAGATAATAGTGAATGTTTTTTTAATTACAATATAAGGAAAAAAGAGATTAAGAAAAGGTAGATAAAAATTCATTTGGCCACTGTGTTTACATACCTTTGTTAACAGCTTTATCTTCCTGCTTGGTTGAGGTAAAATACAGGTCATGAAGCCTGGTTTTTTCCAGCTGATTAAGAATGAAAAGAAGTCCTTTCCTTTCCATTAATGTTATCAGTTTCTTTGATTCTACGATTGATACTCTATTTGACCACTCCTATTGTTCAAAAAAAAAATGAATTAAAATGTGTAATTATGACCATGACCATATAAAAATAATGCAAATGTGGACTTCCAGTTTGATATACAGAGTTGGCCTACAGTCTATCTATATGGTATAGTCTATCTATATGGTACATGGAAATAACTCCCCTCGCCATTCATCTGGAGCAGTGGCGGTTGTTATGGTTACGAGGGTTGGCTATTTCAAGTAGGGATGTTGGGTTAATATTTGGCAAGTTTTGGCTCTTGTTGGTGAGAGAAAAGGAATTAGGGAAAAGAGAGAAGCTCTCCTCTTTGAAAGCCGCGATTTCTTGTTTATCAGTAAACAGTCTTAAATTTTGTGACGAGGGGAGTTCTTTCGATCGACAAACAATTAAGGATTCAGCTAGTTTAAAAAGTCCGTTTATTTACCATTATACTATTACAAAGACAGCTGGTACTCATCAAATTTCGGTATTTACTGGTGTTTACTGTGTTCGATGTGGGCACACTTAGTCACTTAGCACAATCCTATGGTAATCAAGTTCCGTTCATGTGCTTCATTGATCATATTTATATCAATTTCCGTTACAGCAGCAATAATGTGTTTTTACAGTTTTACTGTCATGGCCTATTTTTTTTGCCAAATAGAATGATAGCCAAACATATTAACTTATCATTTTCGGAGTATCTAGGGAGCTATTAAGCCTCTGTGCCTATTTCAATTCATAAGATTGTGCTATATTAGACTGAATTGCATTTTGAAATTTCTCAGGAAAGTGTTTATGTTAAAAAAAACACATTTCGCCTGTACTACACTAGTATGTATTACTTACACACTAGTATGTATTACTTACATGTATACTATGACTGTATATTGTGCTGATATCTAATGAAAGTTTTAACGGCTGTTAACATACCTACATGGAAACATTATTAAAGAACAGTTTATATAAAAAGTAGCCTAATCTAAAGTAAGGTATATCACTAAATTGCCTCAAGCCCTTCAAGTGTATTATGTATGTTACATTTAAAAGAAATTAATGTGCTTAAATTGCTAATAGAGCTCTAGGCTATTAGAGCTCTGGGAAGAAATAAAATAACAGTTTCAATCGTTTCTTAACCACTTCAGATTTTTATCTTGATATGAAATCAATCGAAATCGCAACTTTCCGACACTAAAAAGCTAGCAGACTCAAAACTAAAATTAGGAAAATAATGAAATGATTTAAAAAATAAAATAAAATAAAAAGAAACAAACTTTTCTATGAGGCTAAAAGGAGAAAATACTTGTATTTTTGTCGCACAAAAGAGAAAAACGTGGGGCGCTTACTGATTTTATTTTATCACCACCTAAAATTCTCCTTGTGTTTTTCGAAAATAATGTATTTAAAGAGTAACGAGTTTAAAGTAATCGCATTTCGCCTTTTAGGTATAACAAAAATAAAATACGGCTCTCCTTTTTCTCCAATAGGAAAACTTTGTTTTCAAAAACATTTATTATTATCCTCCTCATCATCATTATTATTGTTATTATAGATGCACTTAAGCTATGAATAATTCATAATTCTTTAATTATTTACGTAACATAAAAAACAAAACTTGAATTGCAGTCAGTTGCATTAATCAACACATTTTTATCCACCATTCAGTTAATTAACTTATTAAAAATTAAATAAAAATTGGTAATTTAATTATAACCTTTTCCGGTATGGACCATAATCTTCTACATTTCCTTATTAAGGCATATTTGCTTTGGTATAGCGAAGCAGGAATGCTTTGATTCTGTAAATAAGTTACTATGTCTTCCTTGAAGATTTCTTTTCTGTCTAGCATTTCACATGTCTCGGTGACACTGTCCAAAATACTTTCAATTAAATCTGAAAAACGAAAGCCTTACTTACTAACACTTTAATTTAAATTAAATAACAAATTATAAATTTATATAACTTTACCATGCTCTGGCTCATTTTTCAGAGTCGAAGTACGATACAGATTAAGAAGCCTACTTTTTTCAATCTGTTTAAGAATGGCATGCATGCCAGCTTTTTCTCGCTTTGTTATCATTTTCTTGGCAACTGAAGTTGACTCTCCATGTAACTAATCCTACAATGCAATGATGCAGGAATTATTATTATTATTATGTTATTATTATTATTATTATTATTATTATCATCATCATCATCATTATTATTAATATTATTTTTATTATTATTATTATTATTATTATTATTATTATTATTATTGTTGTTGTTATTATTATTATTACTATTCAGATACAAAAAAAGGGAGTTCNGTCCCGCAGTGGACTGATCGTTAAGACACGGTTCCCAGCAGATCACCGAAGTCAAGTCAAGCATCACTGGCTGCGGTCAGTGTGCGGGTGCGTGACCCACTTGGATCAGTCTGCGTAGGGACCGAGGGTGTGCGGTATTGGTCCTCATTAAACTGTGCTACCGTAAAGTGCTCGACTTCGCGTGCAGGTCGTTGGGCTACCGAAGCGGTGGTGCTATCCCCTCCGCAGAGGATCAAAATTGTGATGGCATGTCTTCGGATCATCCTCCGGGATGTTTCCCAGACCGTCGCCAATAGCCCATTGTGCTGCTCTAGTGCGACGTAAATTAACAACAACAACAACAACAATATTATCATTATTATTATTATTATTATCATCATCATCATCATCATCATTATTATTATTATTATTATTATTATTATTATTATTATTATTTAGATACGAAAAAGGGAGTTCTAACACGAGATTGTTGTATCGTCAATGCGCAAACATAACATTAAACGTTAGCATTAAGTTATATTAATTCAAATCATTTTATTCATTCCATCTACCATTTTTGACGCACAACTCTTCAAACTTTACATTCAAATTTTTAAAATAACAAAACAAAAAAGAAAACATTTGTTATTTTAATAAATTATATGGGAGTTTCCCCCTTCTTGCTGTCTTTTACCAATTTCTCTGATTGATATCAAATAAATTAACAGATTACAAGATATTAAGCAGATTTATTAATCAAAGGTTAAATTTGTTTGGTTGAAAGGTCTAAAGTTTTATCTACAAACAAAGATTCTGTACCCTATTTGTTTGAAATAAAATTTGAATCACTCTGTTATTACTGCAAATTAGTTTAATCTGCAATGCTTATATTTCTTGAGCATTATTTTTTTTAGGATTCTAAAAATATCTGTATTAATATATGTATATATGTATCATTTTAAAAAATTCAGAAAAATGAATATTTTTCTTTCTTGGGGAACTACTTTTTAACAAATCATCAAATTATCATCAATAATCATTAAATGTGTCATATAATATCAAAATACTACTATAAATCTAATTTGCCCACTTAAAACAGATTTTTTTTATTTTGAATATTTAAATTAAAATATTTTTTTAAGATTCATGATTAAAATATATGAAATCGAATGTAGACTTAACAATTTCAGCACAACTCACACAAAAAGACAGGTGCGTTTATAAGAATATTACGTTATTCACTATTAGTTAAACAAACTTTTATTTGACCATGTAATTTAAAAAACAGTTTAGACAATATTTATTGATTTTATAAACGTATAAGAATGATATGCTGAAAAAATTTCTAATCACTGATCAGACTTTGAAAACTACAATTTGTTAATCTTTGATTGTACTTAAAAGTGGCAATAATAAACAAGACTTTTCTAATTCCAAAATTATGGATAGAAAATTATGATATTTACAAATAAAATGACATTATCAGCATATTAGAGCATTTATTAATATTAAAAATTAACACAAATCACAGCAACTACGTTTCGTTCATCAATTTCAAAATATATAAGAATTCAGCTTACGTAACATATTCCATATTATATAATAAATGATTGAATAATTATTTTAAAAAACTATACATTTTTGCGAAGCTTACCATTAGAGACAGCTTTTAATTTTTATCAAAATTTTTTTTAATTAATTTATATTTAATATCTACTATTAATCTATGTAAACAAGTAAAGAATCTTTTTGATTTTAAAAATTTGTACTATAATTACTGTTTATAATTTCTAAACGACTTTCCACGAGGGGACAAATTTTTCAAGTTTCAAAAAATAATCTTTGCACTTGAATGCTTCGGACTAACCATTTAAACGAAACAACTTCTATATGTTGGTCTGTGTGGTTTGATATTAGCATAGAGCAAGTTTAGATTAATTACTTTTACATAATTTTAACTTAGGAATATGTTGCTTCTGAGTGCGATGCAGTGGTTTATAGATTTTCATGCATTGTTCTCATTTGCTATTTTAAAAACGGACTCCAATTAGGTATACTATAGCCTACGTCACAGATCGTGTTATTCCTACTAAATTTAACTACTAAACAGCATTTTCTGCGAACCTGATTTCTAGCAACAAGTAAAAGCATCAAACGAAGTATCTTGTTATAAGTCGCTACTCGCCAGATTGGAATTGTATTAGTCTAGTTCCTTTGGAAATAATTTATATTGTTGTTTTACCGAAGTTTATGAATTTAGTAAGCATATTTAAAACTCAGTTTATTAATTAAACTAAAAGGTAAATGTTATTCCTAGTAAGTGGAAGTAGTTGTGCTTTTTTCATATTATACTCAATTAAGATGTCTAAGCTGATGTCACTTCACTTTCCCGTCCACTGTAAATCCAGTTACAGCTGCAACCAATAGGAATATGTTTCTATTGGAATAGAAATAAGAATCATCCAATAGGAATAGTGCAAACGAAAACTGACTGAATGATAGTGGAACACTGATCTAGTTCATCTTCTGACATTCACATGATGGGATAAATTTGAATAGTCGACACTATATTATTTATCATAAGTGTCTTTGTCATCTTTTTTGTTTTTTGTGAACAATATTTATAGAAAGAATATATGAAATACTTCTCTGTGTGTCATTGTGTAGATATAGTTTTTAAAGTTGTGTTTTTCTTGCTTTATTCCAATAAAAAAATTTGAATAAAATTAATATTGCTTAAATTTGTGTTAAAGATTTGAAGTTGTTTTTTTATCTCGCCCATTTATGTAAAAACACAAGACTTTCAAATCAATTCCAAATTTATTATCTTATAATTCGGCTATTCATAACAATGTTTGTGTCATATTTTCATTTAGTCTGAGTTATTTTATTCTACCATATAATAAATTCTACTATAAATGGAGAAAACAAAAATTTTACTTTAATAATGATTTTCCGTATTTATTTTTTGATTAATGTTAAAGGAGTAATAGCCTGCGTTATTCATATAAATATAAATTTTAGTCAGCATTGAAATTAATTTAAGAACAAGAAAAAGGGTAAGAAAAAAAAATATTCAAAATAAATCGTAATCGTTTTACATGTTTAAACAAAGGAAAGGTTACTTTTTATATATTTCACTGTGATTTAAATATTGACTCCATTGGCCCTTTTACACTCAACCCAAAGAAGTATTTTATGCAGTTGTTTAGATCAAATACTTAAATAATAATTATGTGCCCGCACTCTCAGAAATATGCAATCGCTGATTGTTCCATTAGATATTTAGGAATTAGGAGCCAGCATTCTTAAAAAAAATTAGTTTAAGTTTGAAAAATATTACCGTTCAAGTTTTCCTACAACCTTAATTAGGTGCTGGATCTAATCGTGCTTCTGTTCATGTTCAAACATGTAATTGTGCAATCAAATTTGCGAAGTTATTAACATCCAGATCATACAGTATACCCCTATCGAGAGTTGACATCCAATGATAGGCAAAAATATATTAGCAACGAACTACTACCGTTTTTAAAATGGGATAAACATTCAGCCCCATAAAAGTAATACAAATCTGATATGGTATCCCGATATTCCAAGATGCTGATGAATTTATTATATGTAACATTATAGCTTCTATTTTTTATTGAAATAGTTTTAATTTTACAGGATTCAAGTTTTATTATGTATTCGGTACTAAAAGTAATTTCTGAAAGTTAAGTACTGTTTTAGATTTCGAAAGAAAAGTACTAAATGCCTTTAAAAAATTGCTACGTAAATTTCTGAATATTGATTTTTTTTCCATTTTATCTATATAATTTTGTGGGGGGCGGAGTTATCGACCAAGCCAACCGTCATCTATCAAAAGGTACCTCTTGATAGAATCAAGTTAGCATGCTTTATATACTTGTGAATGATATTAAACTTTTTGTAGTGGTAGTTACGCCACAATTTAATAAGAAATGTATGGTTCAAGTTTGAGACTTCTATTTTAGTTGGAAAGAATTATTTCACATTCAATTTGGGTCATTTTCTCTCATTACCCCGATAATTAAAAATTTCATAATAAAGCTGTTTATTTATTAATTTTTATATACATAAATTGATCAGGAACACGTTTATTAAAATTGGTGACTTCTGTCCTGATAGAAACTTATGGCCTTGTTGACACGCTCTATCAACATACTGGCTGAACATCTCGGGTCCAGTCGCTACATATTTATTCCGATAACTGCAAATATTGAAATGAATCTATTTTAGTTATTCCTTTTAGTTGTTCCCTCTTTTCACAGATAACACAAGCTCAAAATTTAAAACTTTTACCTTAGTAAAATCGTATTACTTAGCATTACTATCAATTAAGTTATCTCGATAACTGCAAAACAGCGAAATGACACTTGTTAAGTTTTTTCTAATTATCTTATAAAAAGCAAATGGGTCCAGTTTTAAGGCTTCTACCTTGGTAAAAGATAATCATTTATCATTACTGACAATTATGTCTAATTACCCCCTATAATTAAAAGTAATGAAATTAAGCCTTTTAGTTTTTCTTTTTATCTGTTCAAGTACTCGTGGTCTAAGTTTGAGACTTCTATCTGCGTAAAAACGTGTTATTTAGCATTACTGCCAATTAGGCTAATGACCCCTGATAGCAATTTTGTACCCTCTGCCCACCCCTCCTCTCTTTCAAGTAAACGTGTTTTAAGTACGATTTCCAATACGTAGATTTTTTTTACTCTATCTTTGATGCAATTCTATAAATATATAATTTAGGAACAATATGTACGTATTTTCGCCACTGTAGTATTTTGGCTTTTGAAAAGTCAAAAAGGCTAGTTTCAATAAATAAACTGAACGTCAAAATTTTCTCATAACTAAGTATTCAATTCAGTTAATTAAAGCGTTCTTAATTATGAATAGCTTCTTTGAAAAACAACTTCCTTTTGGAAATTTGCACTTTTTGTAAAATTTTTAACTAAACTAGATTAAAAGAAGGAATCATAATCATCATCATTTCTAATTCTGAAAGTAGATTTGCTTGAAAGATATTTCCTTGCTCTGTAGTCCTGAATCAAGCAAACATAGATTCCTTCCATGCAAGTTAAACTAACATATCATTTAAGAGCATTTGACATTTTAACAACATTTTCGAAGAATTAAACTGGGAAACAATTTAACAGATCTTAGATACCTTCGTATTGCTGATTTCAAAACTGCAATCGTCTTCTCCCTCTGAGCAACAGTTTTTTTTACCATTTTTAAATAAAATTTCAAATCTATTTCTGTCGACATGTGTTTAGTTTAAAAACGCTTTATAAATAAGAAGGTCATACAAACATCGTGACAAACTTCTAGAGGAGTTAGGGCACATCATCAGGATTAAAATAGCATTGGAAACCATGCCTTAATATTTCGTCATACACTGCTAGGGGTGCTTCCCAATTTTGAACAATTTCATCGTGTTCTTCTAATCAGGTTATAATAAGAAGGTACCTTTAGCTGCATACCATGACATTTACGGGCATAGGTTCCTATGCCATTTTAATCCTGGTGAGGTAGATGAGGTCCTTTAGAAACTGGTCTCAGATAGTCTGGTTGGTAGGGCACAGGGCCCGTTCAAATGGTCGTGGGTTCGATCCCCGCCGGCCGAAGATTCCTCGTGTAGTAAATGGCGACTGATGCACGTTAAATCTGTCGAGTCATAAACTCCTCCATGTTCCCATAACAAATCATACCCCTGGGGGTATTGATATAAGAGTTTCCTTGTCTTCTGGATTAAGTTCAAAATTACAAGGCTGCGGAGTTGAACATTAGTTGTCGTAAACCCAAAATTGGGTAGGTTGTTTAATGACGGTTATAAAGTAAAATAAAATAGTCGTGTGACCCCTTATATATAACACGTTTTTACGCTTGTGCACTTCGATAAAAAAAATAGGCAATAAATGTCATTTTTAAAAAAGTATCTATAGCTTTAGAAGCAAAATTAATTTCATTTTTGAAATCCCTACTCCCGAATTAAGCAAGATCAATTATTTGTATAAATGCAACAAAAAAAATTGTTCCCCAGTGTTATTAATATTCAATTTGCTTTCATTAAATAAAAGTTGTAACATAAGGGACAAAGGTATAGCGTGCGCATGAGAAATCGTATAATTTTATCATTTTAGATTCAGTTCATTTAATTTTTTTCATAGAAGTTGCATTTATTCGTGATATGTGCGATTTAGGAGTTTTAAACGCTCGAATTAATATTCAACAACACTTGATAATTGATTTCATTTTACGGAACATTCGTTTATTTTTATTCAAACAATATGTGTGGAAAAAAAGCCCAGTGCTATATTCAAAATTCCATTATTTTTGAAAAGCTTAGGGATTATATAATTTGCATAATAAAATGGAAAATGTTCATTTCCTATTCAAATTTTATTCAATTAACGCGTTACGTGATGTTTTTCTTCAGTTTGTTTTACATTTTGTCTCACATAGCTAATGAGAAATAAAATAGTTACTCAAGATCGTATTATATGCAAATGGGTTTTTCCATTGTTTATTGTAAATTGATTGTATTTAGAAACAGTCTAAGAAACTATTTATGGGTTGTTCTTAAAGTATTTTAGTTTTTTTTAATGAAAATGAAAGGTAATTTTCTTAAACAGTTTTAGAATTTCCATGCTGAAATTACGGTAAAATAACCAGTAGCAGTCTGTTCATCCGATTTGCATAAAGTTTATGGTTAGGAACATTTTTCACCTTTACGATTTTTAAACCGTTTACAACAAGTACGGTAAGAA